TGTTGACGAAAACTGCAAAGACTGGTCGACTTAATGGTGACTAGTTATCATAGCTATGATGCAGCTATAAAAAACTCTACAACTGTGATTTTTTTCACTGGATTGTCATTCACTCTTTTTAGTGTAGATATGAACTCTTTCATTCTGAGTTATTTTTAACTTGATTGATTGTTGTTTCCTTGCAAATATATGCATTTATGTCAACTAACTTTGTCTCTTTTACTTATCATTTTGAGGACATTGCAGAGTTAACGAGAATGATAGGCAACGTAGTAATACTTATGTGAAATGCGTCAGTCTTAAACTGTTATTATTTCCTCAATGCGTCATTAAGCCTTGCGTAAAGTGTTTCAGTTACGTTTAGTCCGGTTGCGTATAATATTAGTATTCACGATTGTTAAGAAAGTGGCCGTCAAATATATGTTCGTACTGTTATAACGAAGCATAACCTAGTAAACGTAGGTTCTATACGTACATGACTTGTATTGGTAGTCTAGGCACTTGAAGTACACTCTGCAACGCACATTCTATTTATCACAAATAGTCTGTTATTCTGTTATCTCAAAGGAAATAGTTAGGTAATAAAGAGATAACTACATTACTCTTCTTGTGTTATCATTTCTTATCAATAAGCTCTTACATGATCACATCAACGCTTAGACTCGTGCATTAGTTGACTACGTCACTAAACTTCATCGATTATTTCGTTATCATAAAATACTGTAACACATTAGATAGGCTTTTGTTGTGCATATCGCCTGTTTAAGGTTTCCTAGCGAAAGGAATTACTCAAAAGCAATAGCAGTACCCCATCGTGACCAAATTCAACCACGTGTAAATATGACATTTTACGAATATTACGTCTTCTACACTGGCATCACTTCGCGACTCGACAAACAGTAAGTATTAATAGTGTATGAATGGAGTGGAAAATTTTCAAAACAATATTTATTTCGATAAATACATTCGTAATATCACAAATATTTCATCATTTACACAAATATTATCCTTTTCAATCCCATTAGAATGTCTAAATGTATTGAGTGATTCAGGAAGTAAAGACCATAATCTGGAAATTAAAAATGATTAAAATTTAGTGAGAAAATGATGAGTTGAATAAATAACTTAAAAGATAGTACCTACCAGTTAAATGACTGTCTCTGCACCGTTATCTGATGAAATAACCAACTCAGTTTCCTTTCTTACTGAGAGATTTGGTAAAGATAATGAAATCATATCTACCTCGATATTTAAACATCTCCTCATCATTTAAGTAAAATATACTGAAAAATTGGAATTATTTGGCATTTTCTATCATAATTGACATTTTCTGACGAATTCTGACATTTCTTATGCGCCTCAGCATGTCAATTCGACGAAAGGACAGCATCTTTAAACACACCGAAAACGACCGTCTTTCTCAAGTTTTACACGATTTTTCGTTAAAATACGGTATGTAAACCGTATTTCTGTCGAAAAAACCACTGAAAACAACGTAGAACAGCCCAAACACAACACCACGATAACACCTTACAAACTGCAGCAATCAGCTGATTTGTGCCGCTATCCTCTGCCGCTAAGGAAAGTCCTGCCAGCACCAAACAAAACAGGGACCAAACGGACGTAGGTCACTCGCTGACCTATGGGTGAGAAAAACAAAGTTTGTGATGGAATTTTTTGAGAAACTACCGACTTCAGAGCATTTCCATGTTATGATAATAAATCGAAAATTTTAAAACTTGATAGTATGACACTAGAACATTTATGAATCAGTTGTGATAAGCAGCTGGGTATGATGCATAGATTAGGTCCAAACAAAAGTTGTAACACATTACGCCAGATACTGTGTCGAAGACTGATAGTTAGAATTAAGTGTCAATCATAGGAACACAATTACAATTAAGTATTCTGTTGTCCGTATTAATAACAATAGGCTAACTAGTCTGTATCAGCACTTAATTTTTGTTCCCCATAACGACCCAGCTTTTCCTAGGAAGCATCAGCTGGGGAAGCTACTATCACAAACTGCAGTAACAAGTTTGAGCTCTATAGGCAAATCTAAACTACACTAGTCGTTCTCTTAATTGTGATTCCTGAAATCCCTTCAACAATTACACCAAGAAGAGGCGAAATTATCCAGGTGGTTAACACAGTCATATCACAAGTTCTTTAGATCTGGTTTGAAAAGACTCACAGTTTCTCCCCTCTCCTCGTGCATAGAAACCGTGGGCCACTGGAAGAGATATACTAGTTGCCTCCTGCTCAAATTCGAAACTTGGAAAGCCACATTAACTATATACAAGATATCCATTCACCCTAAACTTGAGTAGTGGGCCCTCCATATGTTAGCCTAAGGTAAGCAGGTCGGCAAAAGTACGAGAATATATTGATAAAGCAAACGGAAGTTTCTTACGGAATCACATGACTGAAAAAGGCCTGTGTGGTTCAGGATACTAAATGTCAAAGTCATAGGGGCTCTTCATAGTGTAGTCTAATACCAAACCATGCCATTCACTCTACTTTGGCTGCAATCTCACGATTGCCACTCACAGAAAGACCAGAAATGCAGACGTCTTCACCACTGACTTCAGTAAAATGTGGAAGCAATCACGGCGGAATGTTTTGGAATAAAGCGAATTATTATTATTAAATGGTCTGAAAATCCCTCCGGTGCAACCTACTGATAACTTTGACACTTAGCTCAGTATTTCAGGTAATTTTGTGATTGTTATCCTCTGACCTGACTGCTATTACACTCACATTCGCCCGTCTGCTTCTGATGTAGTTGTAATTGCCTATCATTGCCTACAATTGGTCTTCAAAATGCATCAGAGTTTATGAAGACCGTTTAATCAGAAACAGAATAAAGCAGATGGAGGGGGGAGGGAGCCAACACAGAATTGTTTAAGGATAGTGGTGATGGAGTGTTTCCTGGGTTACCTGAGACATTAGATAATGTCTGGGAATAAAAGTTAGCCTCGTTGGACAGGTAGAAACGGTTGATTATCTCAGTTTATATAAAGACAGACAAGTCCTCCTAGTATAATCATAAGGGGATAAACTTGACTAATATAGTATCAGCAGTCCCAGACTCAATAATCACTTGTAGACCAAGCGGTACAGGGAAAGAGTAGACCTGGAGAAATCAGGGAGGCTCTAAACCAAGATGATGGGCACTTAACATAACCTCACTACCTGGCAAATTCTGGAATGCACGAACACTTTCCAGAGTCCGACACTTGGCATAATTCCCAACCTGAAGACGGAATCGGTTTCCATTGATCTAGAGGTGTTGTAGCAATATCTAACGATGAAGAGAGTGTGGGAAAAAGTACATTGCATCAATTAAGGTACACTACATTTCCGAATGGGGAGTTCGAACTTCTGAATCGCAACTAAAGGATACTTTAGTTGCTTGTGAGAACTCTTAACATTTCGCAGTGAAGAGCTTGTAAGCCCACATCCTTTTCATTGGCCAGTTTGTAAGCCAACGTTTTCCTCTGAGCATTCTTTATCTGAAAATCAGATTTCAAATTAACAACAAGTAATCATCAAATCTTCTTGCTAAATGTTCGGCAAGCAGGAAACGAATGCAAACAAATGTGGCAACATATCGTACTAGTTCCCCTTCACAGCTACTTTAAATAGTCAGTCGATGATATGCTGTTTAATAAGTCCATCATGCTTACCATCCGTCAACATTATCATACAGAGAACCCATGATAATTGCCGTTGTTAATTAACATCACACCACTCCATTCTTACTGCTGGCGTATCAGCAGAACACTGGCAACTGTATCATCAGTATAAGATATCCGCCAACTTAGAGCAAAATTGTGTAGTATATTATAACATCACAGTTAACAGGTGTCAACCGCTATACATGACTTTCAAACTGAAAAAAGCAAAGTAGTGCAGCTACGCATCCGCAGGTCGCATATGTGGTTAAACACTTAACACATAGACATTCAGGTGTGTTCATTCCCGAGCTTTTGTAGGATTGTACGAAACGTGCGTTAGACCAAGTCAAGATGCCGCTGCTCCCCGCATTACTCAGAAGAGATAGTAACCTTTTGGAAAAAGTCCAGAGTTGGGAGAAGAAGGGGTGATGGGTGTCCTATATCAACTAAATGACGAGCGACTGAACAAATGACGCCTTTTCACAATTAGCTACTGTCGACTTATGGGTGGCTTGTGTGATTAAAAGTCACCAGAAACACCCAAACAAAGGTATTGTGTCATTAGATACATGTGGGTTCTCTCACAGTAATCCAAGGTTGATAGCGCACCAGAGAGCAAAGACTCGGAGTTCTCTACCAGCAGAGGGTGTGTTCGTGGAAAGTCTTGAGCTGAGGCTGGAAAATTATACAGAGACACAGTGACTGAATCCAAATGACCTATCTCCTTGACACTCACACACTACTAGTAGATATACCTTTGAAATCATCCTTTTATTACTTCCCATTCTCCTTTGTCTCCCTTTTATGACTACTGCATCTACTAATTACCTTATATTATTGTAGATATGCATACATCCAGTTTCATTAGCAATCTGCTTTCTTTCCCTTTGTCCACATAACCAACCCTAATCATACCTATTATTTTCTTCCCTCGACCCCACCGGATGAATAAAAGTCGAAGAAATCAACTACATTCACTGCAGCGATACTGTCCTAACATGTCACATACTAAAAACCATATATAATCAGTCCCAGCATCATTTCTTTTGGAATCAACCGATGCTTACACAGTCAAATGGCGGGAGGAACTACGCAAGTGCTAACCAGAGACTAAGAACCTCCACTTTACAGCCTAGAAGTGAGCAAATATATATTTTAAAGTAGTGGCGGTGGATTATTAATAGTATCCTTGGTAAATATCAACTGTTGGGGGAGCAGCAGTAGCAGAATCTACAAAACACATCACAATGCGAAAATGACAAGATACTTCGCGAGTCAAACAAAGATGAATAATGTCTCCGAAAATATTGTCCAATCACAGTCAGTCTTCCGAACACACACCAGCGCCACTTTTAATCTTACTCTCCACACACACTGTTCCACATAACGTTCAGTTGCAATGCCAAAGTTTATATCTGAGGTTGACGTTGAAGCCCGAAAAAAGATTCAGGAGGATGAAGGTATAGTCGAAGCTCCATACGATGCTAGGTCTCTATATGAAAGACTGCAGGTATTTCCACCATTTGTTAATCATATTTTAACGTTTTTGATTATTATTATTGTGTCTTTCCTTTGTGATAGCTTTTTAGACTAATAATAAGGGTTGTGGTAGATCGGGAAACGGTTTTTATCTCTTCTGAACACACCCGTATAAGACTAGGGGATAGTTCTTAGGCTGCCTCCTATGTTGGCTCCCCTATAGGGGAATGTTCTCGTAAACACGAGAACGTCTGGACAGAACACGCTGTATATCCCGGTGTATTCTCCTACTGGGTCGCTATTACCATGCATTATTACCTCACATTCTCATGTATGTACCTGGTGCAAAATAAAATGCGTTTATCTGTGACGTACGGATTTGGAGTTTCCACACTTATAGATTCAGTCTGTTGTACAGCCGATTGTGAAGCCATGCCCACCTTCATTATTCGTCAGAATTAATTTCAGTGATTAGAATGTCCTGCGAAATATGCAGTTAAGATACACTGTCTGTCATCTGTGGCTGTTGTACAGCTATTTCTTCGAGAAGGATATTGTTTATTTCATAATCAAAAATTCGGAATTTCAAATATTTTTCAGCAACGGACCCTAGCGAGTCTATCTGCTTGATCAAGTATTACAAAAGCCCTCAGTGTGAAACGTAATATAATTACGAACGCAACTAGACGTTTTTGTAATACCTTTTCTAAATTTATTTTGACCACGTACCCTAGGCAAATAAATCTGTGTGTATGTCTATTAATCTGGACGTTTAAGCAAAGTGTTTATGCATGCAGACACTTTCCACTTCGTATTTAGAGATCAAAACATTGCCCGGCACACTTGTTCATGATTAGTTTCAAGAAGTCACATAAGGTTTATTGTGCGTTACAGTCCTCATATTGTGTTTTTCATATCATTCATTAATTCGTAATTCTTCTGGTAGTGTAGAAGTAAAATAACTCTAGAAAGTCCGTGATTTATTTGGGGCATACACAACAACATCTTGAACAGCTATGCTTCATAAATTCATGAAATCAACCCAAAGCGTTCCAATACATTAACAGAGGTCGGGCCAACATAGCAACTGCCTACATACATGTGAACAGGTGTTAATGGTGATCTAGTTGAAAGTAGAATCAGCTCTAGTGTTTGGCGCCGCATTGGCATCAGCAAGACTGGATGCTTTGTTTTCTGAACTCGAATTACTGGACTTAATTTCTATTTACAGTTGTTTAGGCTGCAAGGTTATGCCAAAATAAAAAGCAACCGGCGAAAGTCGGGAGATGTGGCAGCTTACTCAAGCCACCTGCACTTTTGTCTTTAGCACTTGATGTGACACCAACAACAGATAAGTTGGACAATGATGCGCACATGAAATACTGCTCGGGCCTTCAGATGGTTGTATTCAAATGAATTATCTTGGTATGTTTTATACAGATCCCTGAAATACAGTGTGCACCAGCAGAGAGGTTTTCCAGGGTTTTGATCAGGTGTGCCTGTTGTCCAATTCTCACCAATTAGCAGGCTTTTGTGATATATTTGAGTGCAACGTGGTTTCAGATTAGCTATGTATAACATATCGCACTGGAGACCAACTTGATATTCACAAAGGTGCTGACAAACTGAAATCTCAAATGACAAGTGTCTAACAGAAGTAAAGGTACTAAACAGCTCAAAGAGAATGAGAGTAAAAGAAATTAGTTTATTTACGAAAATAAGAGTAAAACGCTAGTGGATCAAAGCAGTAGATGTTTCATTAGTGCACCAGTTTGAGTGAGTGTTTAGATTAGTTGAGTTTTCCACTAACGTATAACTTCATTTTTTGTTTGAGGGATGATATTTGCGAAATGGTATTTGAGGCAGATGGTACACCGACTAACAACTTTATAGGACACCTAAAATACTGGACCGGTCATTTATAAAACTAGTTTAGCTGGTTCACAACCTATAGCCAATATTCTGTATAGTAGTGTTCGGTTAGTACCAACCCATCTAACCATTCACAGTTCCGAAAGGGACGCAGTACTCAAAAATCACAAGGCACGCTTCTCAGACATTAAAAAAAATGATTGTGAGAGCAATCACAAAAGTGATTGCTTTGCTTGTAAATTTACGAAAAGTGAGTGTCCCATCAGTATGGAGTGGGTTCATTATTGTATCAATCTACTTGGTGCACACGACTATCACCGGGATATTTCTGTTATTAGTTACGTCTGAATTACTAGCTTCTGTCGTAGCTTACAGGATTTGTAAAATGCATGACGAATTCATTTGCGAAGTAAAAGTTGGGTTTCATTCTGGTCGTAAATGTGTTTATCTCTCACCAGTTACCAGAACCCTACTACACTTATTGTAGACCATCATTGCCGCCTTCGATTTATTGCATATAACTTCTCTTTGGAATTGTCTGTTAGAGCAAGGCGTTCCTTAGTTTTTCAACATCCTGGAAGCATCGTACAAAAGCATTCCAGGTTTAAGTGAGAACTGACTCTTACTAACCTTTGGCTAGGGGTTATCATTTATCCTTTCACAGCAAGCTGGATATAGTGAGAGGTTTCCATAGGATGAGTATTGCTTTCATATTAGGATAAATATTACTTGTGCTCAGACTTCATATTTCATCAAGAAGCTGCATACATAATGGCAAGATATTTATCTTTAACGTTCGTGCATTATGTAGTCAGTTCTCCTTTGTTTCTATTTTACCAGTATACTAGTGATACATTCTGTTGCTAACTATTGTTTCCAATAGCTGCCATTTGACATATCGGCCTATTACTTACTCGTGTTACATATTAAATTTTCGTAATGTTGGACATTCGTGAGACAACTAGAGTAGCCTATTCACTCGGCTTCCAGGTATTGTGTCCAAAAAATCTGTTCCAGGTAACTGTTCTTACTGAAATACCATAGTGAGTCAGCAGTTGTTATTTAGGAGAATTTCAGACACTAAAGACCCGCATTATGAGCTCTACTTCTGTCTTACTCCTTCCCATGTCCGCCGATACATAGTATGGAACCATTAGCCCTTCATTTCTTGTAAGTTTTACTTCATTACAGTTGTCTGTTACGACCTTATTAACAAATCTTCATTTAAACGTCTAGGTATATCGTTAAGATTACTTATTTAATGGTGGTTTCATTTCACGATAACGTTTTTGACATGAGACGTGATGCTACTGCGTGGTTGTTTGGTCGCTACATTTAGTACATTAATTTGAAGATATGAAAAATAAAAATATGAAGGCCTTATAAATCATATTACCCTCGGCCTTTTATCATACATTCTAGTTGTCATTTGGACACGAGGTATACAAATTACACCTACTTATGAAATGGATTTGTATCGCGTTCTGTTTAGTCACCCCCTCTTTATTTCCTAACAGTCCTATTCCTGGCACTTCTTCATTCTCATTTATAGGTCTGGTATAGGGATCATAGTGAAATAAAGAAAATAACTTAGTGTATGCAAAGTTATCACATTACTTCGTCGTTTAAACTTAGAACGTATTAGTTTGAAGCTAAGTATCGAAGTTACGGAACCACTCTACTACAATTATACAGTTAGTCAGTATACGTAGCACATGGAGTAATTAGGTCACATAAAACGATGGAGTTAATAATATAGTGCTCCTGTTTAAAAAGGTGTGAAATAACAGCATTTATCTATAGTCTGTTTGGACTCTAATGCAAAAATTAGTGAGCGAAAGATTCATTGATTTGACTAGAGACAAATTCTTGAGGTATCTAAGAGTTGAAGACTAAACAAGATTTACCTCGTTAGAAAATGTTTGAGAAATGGTAACACAGTTTATGCGATTGGCCAATAAGAGTAGTTGGAAAACACGTGCACCAACTAGTAGTAAATTCTTTGCAGTTATTCCTCTGGCAATCTCACCAACACTTAAACTATCAAGCGGTTCAAATATTACCAAAGGAAATTATAATAAGGCTTCATAGCTATGTATTTCGCCAACAATGGATATGCATATGATTGCACTGTGAATCAATAAGTACACCCTTACTAGTTTCAGTTCTGAGTCATGAGCGTGAGACAAATTGAACAGTTGTCCTGTGTAATTTGTATCTAACGTGTCCGTCCTAAAGTAGGAATTATTATTGTTATTAATATTATTACTTAACTGTACGTCATACAACAAAATAGTGTATACAATGGCTTACTAACTAAAATTCAGTTAATTTGAAAACTTTTAGGCTGAAAAGGATAGAAAGCAAGAGGAGTATGAAGCAACTAATGCTCTGAAAAACCGTATTCATCGTCTGGATGAGGATGAAGTCGATTATCTACAAACGTTATCTGCTAAACAGTACAAAGCCGATTTGGAGAAGGAGGAAGAAATCGCCGAATTAGTAAAAGAAGCAAAAATATCCTTTTGATAAGTTTATTATTATTATTGTTTCCCTTAATTCCCAGAGGAACTTAGGGCTTCAGCCGTGCGTCTCCACTGCGTTCGGTTTTCTGCTAGAGTCTTCACCTGGCTCCAAGTCTGCCCACACGTTTTCATCTCCTCTTCACATGATCTCCTCCAAGTCACCCTTGGACGACCAAGTTGCCGCCTCCCTTTCAAGTTCCACTCGAGGGCTTATCTAGTGATGTCACTTGATGGTTTCCTCAGAGATGTACTATTGTCGGTGGCACCCCGAAGAAGCGAAGTATTTGCCAAAGCACCTCTCGATCGACACTGTTGAAGGCCTTTTCAAAGTAGATGAAGTTGAAATAGAGAGGTGACTGCCATTCCAAGCTTTGTTCAATGATGATCCGTAATGTGGCGATCTGATCAATGCATGACTTGTTTCTCCTGAATCCAGCCTGTTCCGGTCGAAGTTTTCATCCAGGGCTTGTTTGGTCCTCTCCAGGATGATTCGGCTTAGTATTTTGCTTGGGATAGACAGGAGCATAATTCCACGCCAGTTCTTGCATTGACTTAAGTCTTCTTTCTTTGGTAGTTTGAATAAGTATCCTTTCTTCCAATCCTCAGGTACTTTGCCTTCTTTCCACACCTTCTCCAGTAGTGGCGTCATCAAGCCTGCTGTTATCTCTGGGTCCATTTTCAATGCTTCTGCTGGGATTCCATCTGGTCCTGCTGCTTTTCCAGCTTTCAGCATCTTGATTGCCTTCAGGGCTGCTGATTTCGTCGGGGGGTTTGGTGTTCACTGGTAGCTCTGTCTCCGTCGTTGGTATTGTTGGGCGCGTTGTAGGTGGTGGTCGATTTAGGAGTCTTTTGAAGTGTTCAACCCAGTGTTTCCTTTGCTCCACTTCTTTGGTGAGTGACTTTCAATTGTCATCCTTCATTGGTTGAATCTGTGTCAAACTTTTACCCGATAGGTACGTAGTTGTTTGGTGGAGTGTTGCGAGGTCTCCTTTGCCTGCACTGCAGCTTGTTCTGCTTCACTTGCCATGGTTCATAATGCTTTCTTTTGTCTTCTCTGGCACTCTTCTTTACTCTTTTGTTCAGTGTCTTGTAGTTTGCATTCAAATCCTGTTTTTGTTGCTCGTCGGTGCACTGGAGAATATTTTGTTTCACTATCCCTCTCTCTCCTATCAGTCTCCAAGTGTCCGTAGTGAGCCACTGTTTGTCCTGTCACTTCTTTCTGCCTAGAACTTCCATGCAGGTTTGACTCCACACTGTTTTCAAGTTGTTCCAGTGCTTTTCGACGCTGACCTCTTCGCTAGTGTTGGCTTGTGTCTCGGCTTTGTCCTTTATGCTTGCAGTGAAGATGTCTTTTGTGTCCTGGTCCTTCAGTTTTTGAGTGTTGAACTTGGCTTGTGGTCTATTTGCAGCTCCTCTTACTCTGAAAGCTTTTAATTTGATTTGGATTGTCCCTTGTATGAGGTAGTGGTCTGAGCCAACGTCTGCTCCTCTTCTTACTTTTGTGTCCAGTAGGCTGCGTCTCCACTTCCTTGAGATTGAGATAAAGTCAATTTGGTTTTTGGTTCGCCCATCTGGTGACACCCATGTAGCCTTGTGGATATCCTGGTGTCTGTATACGCTGCCACCAATCACTAGTTCATTGAAGGCGCAGAAGTCGGTGAAGAGTTCTCCGTTTTCATTCATTTCTCCGAGAGCTGCTTTACCCATAATGAGTTTACTTCCTGTGTTGTCTGGCCCCAGTTTGGCGTTCATGTCTCCCATTAGTATTTTAATGTCACCAGCTGGAGTATTGTCCATTGTTGCCTGTAGTTGTCTGTAGAATTCTTCTTTCCTTTCGAGGTCTGCGTTGTTTGTCGGTGCATAGCATTGTATAACTGTCACTTTCCTTCCTTTGGAGTTGAATCTTGTGGTTATAATCCTGAGCGAGATCGCCTGCTATTGCAGCAGGGCCTTCGTTACCGTTGGTGGCATCATGATAGCTACGCCCTCGATGTGCATGTGGTTATCCTCTGGGTGACCGGAGTAGATCATTGACTCATCCGTTGACAATTTGGTGAGTCCATTCCCGTTCCACCTGCTTTCACATATCCCCAGTACTTGAGTTCCGTATCTTTTCATTTCGTTTGCGATCTGGGCAGCTTTGCCAATCTCGTACATGGTGCGGACATTCCATGTCCCCACACAAACTTTTTCTTTTGGCGAAAGCAGCTTTGTTTACAGGGTGGGGTTGCTAGCCTCACACCTGAGAAGAGGATTGTAACATTAAAATATAGTTTAGAGAGAAGCGACCTTGTGGGTTGCTCCCCTTAAAACCAGGAATAAAACAATCAGAACAAAACCAGCACAGGAAAATAATTCACAAAAAGAAGGGTAACAAGCGACAACAACAATAATAGTATCACAGTCAAGTACAGTTAAGCAAAATGATACCAAAATCACAGACTGATTGACTTGAGCTTGCTACATTCTAATTATAAACTTAATTTTAAATTTTTCCACATACTTCAACCTTTGTGATCCTATTTTCGCTAGTTTCTTAACTTAAAGTATACACTCAGGCAAATCGACCAGTTCATGTTTCGTCTACAAATACTACTACATCTGGTTTGAGCGCAAAGTCTTTTTATAATAAAGGAGGTTCAAGTCAACGAGCTCTCATGGCTAGTGCTGTTAAACGGAATTCGTAAGTGATTTTGTATAATTTTATACTTCTGGCTATTGTAGTAGCTTGGACATAATTGGCCCACTGTCAAAGCGAGCAAACACAAGGACATCTAGTAAGTGACTAAGAATTTTATTTGGTTTTCATCATTGTTTGGTGTTGTATAGGGAAATTGAGTTTATACTACGTTTTAGATGACATACGGCTTCCTCATAAGCTGCAAACAAAATAAGTACCGTGTCAGTAGGGAAATAATTAAATTTGGATGGAGGTTATTTAAATTATGCGATCCAGTCCCCTTTTTTTGTAAATAAGCTACCGACTGGTTATTCTTGCGGATTCCATCTAGCCACCTTAAGTATACTGTGTTAACCAGGGGGCTACTTAAACTTGTTCAGCAGTGCAAGGTCTTAAGGAGAGCTGTCGTTTAGGTCACAAATGCTTAGTGTCATCGTTATGATTCAATCTCATCGTAGATGTGCTGGTGGATTTCACTGGTTGACTTCAAAGTCATAGCAGTTGACTTACTACTAGAAACAATTCTTGTTTACATAGAGTCCGTAGACGACAAAGTCCTTAGGACTGAACACCTTGGGCGAATATCTGACTCTAATTATCGTGCGACCTACTCATGTTAAATGTAGGGTAATGATACAAAACTGGACTTCATCTACTATTATCTCAAAAATGAGAAGTAAGTTTGTTAAATACGTTAAACATTGCACTTATTTCAGGGTTCGCTCCACCCCCAGTGAATTGGTTGTTGGAAAAATCTTATCATTGGATACGATGGGCTCGTTTAGCATTTGCTAACTTGTATTAATTTCGTTGTCATTTAGTGTCCCATTAAAGGACATATCTTCTGCATAACAATTCGTCGTGTCATAACAGTACCTGTCACTGATTATACTGCATTTAGGAAATAGTATCAGTCTTCTTTAGAATCGGGTAACCATTTCCTGATCTGTTAACTTTCTGTCTACTTCCAACCATAACATATATTTGCTTATTGTTTAGACTAAGTAAGAAAAGTCTTCCGAGTTCGGACCTATGTCTATTAGAATGTACTTATGTACAAGGTAGTCTGTAGTTAAAGCACATAGTCGATAAATACTGATAATTCTTCACGAAACTTCTGCATTGCTAAGTGATATCTACATGATCTATCCATGTTCACTACGAAGCTGATTAAACAGTGTTTCTTCCGAAATTGCAGTTTGAGAATAGATATCTATCTGAGCACAGTTGTACCAATATATTCCGTTGGTAGGAGTTGTCAGTCATAACTACAGAGTGGGAACTGAATGTCTCATGTCATAAGTCAGACTAATTGTGTAGGAATTAATGATACCGCCTAATTATCGAAGATGAAGTAGGTGAGGCGAACTTTGAACTCGAGAACCGCTGTTCGAAAGTCAAGTACTAAAAACATTGATACACATCTTCATTGGATAGTTAGTCTATTTTTGCCAGTCACATATTTAAACTATTTTCAAGTTAATTTTGTATGGATTGAAAGTGATTTACTAATTTTATGGTGTTTACTCTAATTCAATTTTTGTGCATTCACCACAGCTTCAAATGATCCTTTGGCAAAATTGTGTACGGATGAATCAAATTATCGTGGTATATCTAAGCACTTGAATAGACCTCTCGACATACTACCAGGATTGAGCGATTATTCAGATTCAGATTCTGAGAAGTCAACAGATTCCACTAGTGACGACTCAACAGATATAGAAGATTCCGTTTGTACATTACAACAAATAGCGTGTACAAGAATGCTTTATACTAAAACTGAAGGTTCCACAGGCAATGGAAGTGTATGAGTGATGCTATTTTTTGATGTACCTACGGGCTTGTGCTTTTATCCTCTTTCTGGATATCATCTACTGTTTGTGTCACAAGAACCTACTTATTAGTTGACTTAAATAAACAGACTAATTTGTGTATCAGTAAGCAGTTACTTAATTGAATAATTTTTGCACATAGTCATATTTGGAACTCCGTACTGCTATTCCTCTTGGCATTGGTCATCACTCATGCTTTCATGATGTAATTATTAGCATCCGTGTCTAAATATGTGAATTGAAACTAAAGGCTCGTGAATTTCTGATAAATGTCACAATTGTTTCTATTACAACTTGAGTCATATTCACTAGTGGTCTGTTTGAGAATAATTGTTTTAGTTGCTAATGACAAATAGTGGTTTGGGCTCGATCTTAAACATACTGTGATACAAGATAAAAGAAATATATTAATATTATGAGATCATTAATGTGTTCATTTCTCCTCTGCTATTCATCTGAATCCCCGAAATAAAAGGAGTATTCCTGAATTGTGGTAGTTCAGTAGTCAGATTACATGTAATCAGCATTCTTGCTTAATACAATTAGTGAACAAAGAATATTCTTTCAATAAATTCCTCAGTCTCTGCTGTTATATATCAATATTAGTTACGTAATAAAATAGTGTATACTAACCGTAGATCGTTAGGACAAATAACCATCGTCTACTTTTCTGAAAGTATAACGATCTTTAAGTCTGACTGCTGTTGGAATAAAGTTCAAAGTGAATATGTTAGCATGTGTAGTATAAAAGTACGTTGTCAAATTGAAGTGAATAACTATAATAGGCGAAGTTAAGGTTAATAAGAAACGATGATTGTGATCAAAGTTCTATAATAGCAGGTAAAAGTTTTGAATAATGTTCAGTACATGTGAAATTGAGTATGCAGTCAGAAGAAATAATGACATTGGAATCTATCCAAGCAGGAAGAGATTGACTAACGTGTTTGGACGATTTAATATTATTAAAATAGTTAGGTGTATTTCAATCCAGGAAAAAAGAGGTGGAATGATAGTTTAAACGTAACGGTAACGTGGTAGTCGAATCAGAAGTGTAAAGGACTATCACCGTCTTGGGCTTCTCGGCATGGGACTACATAGATACATCCAACATACTTTTTGGACTAGTCCAAACGTACCTCTTTGAGTATTAAAATCACCTAAGATAATGGTATGTGAGTGTCTTTCTTTTACCAGTAAAACGGATAACTTCTGATAACAGCCATTCTTCGACTTTATCCAGGGTGTATTCATTTGGAGATAACCAAACGGCGTCGATGACTATTAATGCTTCGCCTTACTTTTACTGATTCATCCCAGTTGGACAAGGCACTGACGGCTGCCCACCGGGAGCTAATCAAGTATTGAGTTTTATGCTATCGTTACACTGACAAATCGACGAAAAGTTAAGTAATCTACTTAATAACAGTTGGGTGAATTTTATAGAGTCACTGTGTTGATCAGGTGGAGTTATGTGAATAACCAAACTTACTGCATGTTTCAGTGACAAAAATTCAAAGATTGAGATGCTCGAATTGTGTCTATTTAGCATAAAGTTTGGATAGAGAAAGCTCTGATATGAAGTTAGAAACATGGGTCTAAGAAACTAGGGATAGTGTTTCTCTGGCTTCAGTTGTTAATAGTGGTTACACAGTTGTGAAAAAGCGGAAGAACTGTTTGTGAAATAGTACTATTGGTGAGAGGACAATAGGAAGGCAGCAACCTGTCCTCTTCGAATAGTGGGCCCATCGGCCTAAACTTTGATTATTGTGACAGCACATCACTGCCTCTTGTTCCTAAGTGGTCCTATATACAAGTTGTAGTTAGCACTTCGTGCGGAAATTACTTCCTAATTCAATTATAAAACAGCACATTGTTCGCTCCAAATTTGACGGAATAATAGAAATCCATACAGTTCTGTTATCCTAACAGGGTCGTTGCGGCTCCAAATTAGGTGAAAAGTCTTCATTGTGTAATAAAGAAGAAGACACTCAGAGAGGTATTAGTGTTTTCCGGTTAAAAATAATGGAACTCATCAATTTACACTTCCAGTTGTTTTCCGATGAACAATGAGTTAAATTGCGTCTACGCATATGCGGTGAGAAAATTTTTTATTCCCTTACTTTCCCAGTGGAACATAGGGCTTCAAGCTAGAGGCTTGAAATTTCGGCAGCAGTGGTGTTTCTTTACTAGTCTTATTATTGGCTTAGCGAGGTAAAGGAGTGCGTCGGCCGGGGATGAACCCCGGACCACATGCTTGACCGGCGAGCATTCTACCGCTGTACCACCTACACACTGTGAGAAGATAAACGTATTTATTTGTTTGTCTACTAACTTCAAAATCAAATATTAGTATCGAATTAAGATTACTGCAATTTAATATTTCATAAAATTTTGACGCTTGATTGACTGTCATACAAACATTCACTAGCAGGTAAAATGTGGCATTCTGGCACAAATCACTTTGATAGGTTTTGAGTCGGTTTTCCTAATCGGACCGAGGTACAGGCTTAATGTCACACTACTGCTGCCGTATATAATTTTTTCTGAAAGAATAATGAGTTCATCTCCCTTATTTTGTATCGTCATTATTATTCGTTCCTTGAGTTCTGAATCGAACATAGGACTTCATCAGCACACCTCCATCACACTCACTTGCAGCTGGCTACTAGACAGATCACAAACTTTCATCTTTTTTCACGCTATCTCCTCCATGTCACCCTGGGACGCCAAACCTATCGATTTCCACTCAGCTACCAATCAACAACCTGCCACGTGATATCACTCAATGGTCACCTCGTATATGTCTAAGGCATATGCAGTCCCTTCTCCATATTTCCTGGTCAAACAATAGGTTCTTAGCTGGTTTTATGCCTGTCAAAGTCCCTTGTTGGTTATACTTTCTGAACAGCCAACCATTTGATGTCAAGTGTCGAGCCAGGGAAGGCATTCGTTGACGGAAATGCTTTTCGTGACGGGAGCGCCAAGTCTCTGAACCATACAAAAGCAGTGTCAAGAGTCTCGGTGTTGTTCGTTGCGTTGAGTGCTGGAGGTCTACACGCTAGTTTCAGATGAACAAACGTCTGTTTTGCTTTCCTTATCCGATCCTGGATGATCGTGACATTCTCATCTGTGATGCTCACCTGTAATTGAGACGATGCTGACCGACTTACTGGTCAGGTAAGTGAAAGAGATTAGTCCCTCTATATCACTCCCGTCGATTGTGATTGGTGCTTGCTGTTGTTGTTGTCGGTGATGGTAGTCATGTATCTTCGTCACATCTATCTTCTCTATGTTCACCTGGTTTCCTCTCCTCGCTGCCTCCTTTATCAACTTGTTGGTTTTAGCTTGTTTAGATCGATAGATCAGAAGTTAAACTGCAAACAGTTACTCCAACCTACATTAACCTACGTAAATAAATAAGTGAAGATTGTGCAGAAGTCACTCAGCAAGACAAACGTTTCACTCAATTTGTTACAGTTTTTACTGGCGATGAGAAAGTCCTTTCTTTGAAAAAAACAGTATTTTACAGCTGAGTGAATGAATTCGCCGAAAAGAGACTCTTCGCTGGACATTTTGTTCTTAAAAACAGTATCATTTCAAATGCTAGAAGAAGTTAGATGCAGGCTGCATAAAGGTGATGGCAGTGTTATTGGACAAAAGTGATTACATTGAGAAAATGGAAGGTATTCTGAATGATCAAACCAAATTCCAATCTCATGGTAATTCCAAAGATCTCTATATAAAAGTAGAGAAACTAATGACAGACTGTCTTAAAAAACTGAGCCGAAAGGGAGTATTATCGGCAGCCATTTATGAGTCCATGAAACCAATAGGTTACTCATATTTGATATGATTATGAGCAATAAAATGTGGTCGAAACGTCATCAGTAAATATTGCTGTATAACACTGAGACTTTATCAAAATAAACTTTATCCACAATGGAATTATACTGTATCACAGTGCACAGGTTCTATTCTCCTATCGGCAGGTAATTCGTGACGGATTCTTCAACCTGATTATACATTGAGCAACATAGGCAGATGATGGTGCGTTGAAGATGTTATGTTACCATTTGATGTTGTAGCGGTAAATAGTGCCCCAAAATTATTGGCCACAGCACTGAACATTGGATTCTGGCCCACACTGTTTAAGTTAACTTGTTTAGCTGAGGGCTTCCGGTCAAGCATCCACGCCATTTGGTACTCCATCGTCTCACGTTCGTTCGTTCGCGCACGATCCCTAGCCAGCTAAGCAATCACCTCGCACTCCGATTTGGTTCCCAAATATATCTCGTAATTTGAACGATCAATTCTTGTGTTTTGCTTTGCCTTTGGTCTACGCGGAACGAATACTATAGATGTTGTGGGTATTAGATCTTGCATTAGTATACTTCGTACTATCCGTGAACGTCAGTACCGTCAGACTCTAAAGTGTGATTTGACAGTGGCTAGCAGTTGAATTTAGAGCACTGTTTCCGCTTCATTTGGGATTCATCAACTGGATGTGCATGCTTCCTAGTGGATGATGGTGCTCCTACTAAAACTCATCCGCAGTTTTAAAATCCAGAGCTTGTTCACTAAGCTACTGAACCACGAGAACTTTAATGGCTAAGGTCAATGAGAAATGAAAACAGCCCAAGTTCCTACATTCAACTACATAGTAAACTAAAAGGACAAAATTTAACCTCGGCACAAATCAGTTTGTCACACTGATTAAATGAAAACAGCCAAAAGTTGATTGACGCATAGTTAGTACACACTGAAGATTCACATGAGCCTTGAGAATAAGTGCGATGTCAGTTGAGATCACTTTCAAAGTGTGAGAAGAAACTTTATACAGGTTGCTTCATCAGTAAGAAGATGTTAAATTCACTGACTGACTTCAGTTGCACTGAAAAAGTCAACATGTCTAAAGTGCAGTTTCTCATCTACTAAGTGGTGATATCAATATTATTCGTCTGAATGATTCCTTGACTGATCAGAGTTCAGATGTAGAGATACCATGAATTTCCCCAAGTGTCGTACACGTTTGAACGGTAAACACCAACAAGTATAATACCTAAAGCTCTCTTCCTAATAAGCAGAAATGTATTAAAGCAGCAGGAAAACGTGCGTGTTTCCTATCACTCAGTTTAAGTGTTGACAATGTATATTTGTCCTATGGACTTTAATAAACACCTGATAAAAACATCGGTTCCCATCAGTCAACTAACTTCCATTCCTTATTTATATTACTACCAGAAGCAAGCGATGCACTAGTTGTATTCCATTGAGAAAGAAGACCCATAAGTACTTGAAAATAAGTCAAAGAATATACCAGCGTACAGAGGTTTATACTGCACTCGTGAAGGTAGTATATACAAAACTGAACTGAAATCGCCATACCACTGACGATCAGGAGGAATAGAGTTATGCTGAAAGTATTAAAAACGATTACTTCTTAGTTTACTTTTGGAAGCTATTGTCACTTATTCACTTAGTTTCAACTTGTTAGTATGAGAAATAATGGGTTGGACAGAATTCGTTACAGAACACTCTCACTACTACTAGAATAAAGCAAGTGGATATTGGTAATAATAATAATTATTATTATCAT